AGAACATCTATCGCGAGTCTACAGCAGCTTGGTTCCTCGTCAGATCCTTAGAGCGGCCCTATAAGGCGCGAAAAATGAGGGAAATGATCGTTTGCACCCTAAAAAAATCTTATAATTTAGGGGGAGATGTTCGGAGTTCATATTTTATCTCAAGGATGTATCACAAAAAATTAGGGTTTCCTTCATCATTTAGGATGTAATTGTGGCTCTGTAAGTCGCTTCAGTTTTCGGGCGTTTGGTCTCACGATGCGACAAGCGAGAGAGAGAGAAATTATCGCGACGATCCGCGATCACGACGATGGTTTCCGGTCGGCGGGAAAGATCGCGAAAGAAGGGAGGAAAGCCACGCCGATAAAGAGAAAATATCAGCTCCGTCGTATAACGAGAAGCGCGAGCCGGAATGGGCGTTACCCAAACGGGCTCTTGCACTTGTACCTGTTGCTCGTTGCTTCCTATTAAAATACTCTCGCCGACCCACGCGAGAAAGGAGTCGCTCTTGCCTGTCCGTTAGTAACCAATGACTAAGAACGCGATAAAGAACAGTCTTTTCCACCCTTTCCACACGGTTCTTTCTCTTCCTCGTCCGGGGAGCTCCTTCTTCTCAGCGTCATTCCAAGAGAGGCTGCCTCTTCCAAAAGACTTGGAGAAACGGAGCATTTCCGGATGAGAAACTCATAAGATCCACACTTTCTCGTTGATATTTGCTTGATTTATGAGATTATAATCTCCGACAGAGAAAGAGAAAGTCATAAACTTTGACGTGATTTTTGTAGATTTGTCACTTTTGACTTTTCAGACATTTGTAACGTCTCTTTAAAATTTTATTTCTTTTATCGAAATATGTTACTATTAGTTACGTATCTCCTTTTTTAAGATAAATTTCTCAATTAGTTCTTTTATCCACGTTTTCCTCTTTTTTTGTTACATTCTAGACAGGATTTATTGTTCGGATTTCGCTGCTTCCCCCATGCTTTTTGTAGTCCTTTCTTCTTTCATGTCATCTTTTTGTGAGTTTCTATTAGCGGTTTGTATTTCGGGCAGATGTTTGTCGGGTACAACGTTTTCTACACGCTAGCCAGTTTTGGCCTCTCGGCGGCATTGTATCCGCCGAGATATAAAAGATTGGGGTAGAGATTCTTTCGGGCTCTTAGAGCAACGACACTGCGACTGTGGAAAGGTGTTTACTCTATTTGGGACAAGCTGCTATCTTGAAAGGATAAAAGTGAGTCGAAATTTTCTGAAAAAAATTCCCAAAAGAAAGTTTTTGAAGAACCGAAGATGTACCGATTGCTTTTCTTTAGAAATCTCTACAAACAAAATATAAAATTACTATTCTATTATTATTTGATCTGACCTGACGCTGCGTACAAAGTAAATTCAAGGTTTCTCTGTAACTCTTTTGTTTTTTGAAGGTTTTTTGGAGAACCTACAGGCTAAAACGAACCGGTGAAGCTATCCGTCTTAATAACTTCATACCTTTATTTCGATCGTGCGTCCGACGAATAATGGAGTCATAAAGCCTAATACGAGCGCAGGGTTCTTAGGTCTATACGACTCGATTTGGAGAATCTCAGGTAATTTATCTAAGGGCGGCGCATTCAAGAAAATTCCCTTCAACTTTGCCGCAGGTGTATATAACGCATACGGGTTGAATTTTCGTGATAATGAGAATGGAACGTCGTTAAAAAAAAAAAAAGAAAAGAAAAAAATTGACGTCGAATACCTTGAAACAGAGAAATGATGTTCATTATTAAGAATTAAAAATAAATTTTAAAAATGAATTTAAAAAAAATTTCTTTTGTGTTATCTTTATTATCGATTTAATAAGAATTACCGATTAAATAAAAATTAACCGATAATGAGAAAGAACCGATTTAATAAGAAATCTGAGGCGAGGGACACGTATAGCGTCATAAGGCCTCGTGTGACAGCATTATTGTTCCTAAGATGTCGTTAATTAAATCGTCGTTATAAATTACCCGTTGAATCGCGAAGCTAATGATATTCCATTAAAACGCTACGGTGTGAAAACTGCACGCTCAGAATTCACAGTGGGCTATAAACATTTTTACGGTATCCCCGCATCTTTCCCTCGCGTTGAAAGAAAGAAACGCGAGAAAGGGACAACCTCGCGAGTAAAGCGAGCATAAAACGGGAATTCGCAATAAATCGGCATTGGTTTTGTCATCGCGTCGTGTTTTATGTACATCCTGTACATTTCTGCGTGAAATCGTGACGCAACCCAGTTTCCGGCTTCGTGCTATTGTCGACTACTAATTGTACACAATTATACATAAAATTATAATTATTATCTCAAATCGTGGGCAATTCTACGGAACAATTTATATAGATTCATGGAAATCATAGAAATAATTCAGTCCTTTCACAAATAAATGTGTGTTTTTTTTTAGCTTTGGTCGACTACATTGCTCTGCTCAGCCAGACGTGATTCCTGTCGTTTGTCCGGCTCGCATAAATAGAATGATAGAGCACTATTGTCACACATCGTTCGCCAACATTGGCATCGCATTACCGTGCATCAATTTTTACAATACATTTACAGTTATAATTCCATTGAATGTATGATTGGTGAGCGAAATTATGAAAATGGAGGAAGTGAAATAAAACAAGAGAATCGAGATTTGTGATTGATGATGCGAGAGGAAGTCACATACCTGAATTCACGATGTGTGCTCCAGAAAGACAATTTCGCATCAGATATCCTCGATAGATCCGCGTCTTTTATTTTCAAGACAACATTTCGAAATTCGTATTTTCCGTAGCGTTGCCGGGGGTCGTGGTGATCACCTTACTTTTTTTTTCCCCGTCTTGATAGCGCTGGATCGTGCGAGGCATACACGAGGGACGACGACCCGACACGACGAAGACCCCTTAAAACCGAAAACATACGGCATACAATTACGACGTAATGATATATAATTAATGGAATTCGCTCAAAGGCCCCCCATGGTTGTTATATGGTATGCTTGTTTCCTCGAAAAACGCGAGGGAACTGCGAGTCCATATAAACGGAGGGAGAGGGAACTCGCGGCGAGATTCTCTGAATAAAATTCTCATCGTTCGCGTGTATATACTTTACTCATCATAATATATATATATACGTATACCGGTCGTGATATTTGCATGCCACGAGACTATAAAAGACCAGAAAATTACCAGAGTGCAACATACTAATTTCCGATGTCACGAACAGCGCCCAGGCGGCACCGGAAATTTCCCTGATTGTCAAAACGTGAAAGAAAATGAAAAATCGCGTAATGCGTACATGTGTGAGCCGCCTTTGTTTATTATAAATTATTGTTTTATCTTCGACACTCTATTTATTATTCATATATTCAACGGGAATCTTCGATTGCGGTATTAATGATCGATTCACTCTTGTGCGATAAGATGGTTCGAATGCTATTCTTAAGATCCCCTTCTCGATATAAGCAACAAGGTCGCAAGATTTTGAAGATAGTTCTTTCTCTCTCTCTCTCATTCACGTAAGATCGAATATTTTTTTTTAATCACGTCAATGTATATTCGCCAGCAGCATTCGTACTCTTCGTATATCAAGTTTAAATCGACCGGATCGATCAGGTGATCCATCCATGAAATACATGTCTGTGATGGAATCAAATTTTCGCGCATATATATCGCTCATTATTGCTCATCTCGACATTATATATGTATATCTGATACAATACTCTGATTATAATTGATGATATCATATAATGTTATGAAAACAGTATATATTTTGTTTCGTTAGCGTCTTTAAATGGCATATTTTATCTCAGAAGAGGGAAATAGCATAAAAATATTTAGATAATTTGCGATATTTGCAATGACTTGAATATGCGCGAATAATAAATCCCACTACAATTCTATAATGTTCTCGATATTGTATTATTTTAAATTGAAGTGATCAATTCGTTCCATCAATCTCGAGTACGCGGCTCGTAAAGCTTTCCGCGTTATAATTTACGAAACTAAACCCACGTATTTGAAGTTAATAAATTTAACCACAATGCATAGAGAATGTACTAAAAGAAAGCTGCAACATAAGGATACGATATCTTGCTTTCCGCTAAGCGTAGGCGTAGCAAGCAGTCAATTATCCCGTTCGCGCCGAACGAATTCAATTAATCGAATTCTCAGACAATTCAATCGGATTCTCAGACTGACGTTTAACGTAAACAATTCAGATTCTTCCGCATTTCTTCTACATTATTTTTTTCTCTCCCTTTTCGCTTCACAAAGAGCAAAATTTATAATCGTAATTTGTCAAATATACGAGAAAATACTGATATATAAAACATTCTGATATAAGTTTAACATAGCGGTTCAATAATTATTACATCTATTATGCATAGTCGATAACAAAATCCTTCGCGATATGGCTCGATATTGCGGGATATAGGATTTTCTCTCGATTGCATAAAAAATCTGTATCTCTTTCATCGTGCGGGAAAAAGGATAAAAGGCTCAGCGTCCATTACTTATGGCGAACATCGCGGATCGCGACAGTAACAAGTGCTCGCAATATTCTCGCATCGGCGCCGCGGTATCCGACGCGCAATCAAAAAGTGCGTAACGCGGCAAAGAAATGCAGCGGCAGTTTCGCGGATATAGACGTACGGCGTTCGAGAAAGCATCGGCGGGCGGGTAACTTTCAAATTAAAGCAAAGCGAGGTGGCCGACGAGTGACGACCGAGAGGAGCAGACCGGGAGGATGTAACGCACGGAGGAGGAAATGAAATGAAGAAGGAAAGCAAAGAGCGGAAAGAGAATAAGAACGAGGGAAAAGAGCAGGGGAGTAACACAGAGAAAGAGAGAGAGAGAGAGCAGGGAGGAGGAATAAGAGAAAGAAAGAAAGAAAGACGAAGAAAGAGATGGAGAGAAAACGAGAAAGAAGCACGGGCGGTGAGCAAAAGAGAGAAAGAGAGATCGAGAGGAGGTAGAGATCGTAGAGGTAACATCGTAGAGGCTGTGGGACCCGATCCCAAAGGTAGGAGGACTCGAGTCGTGGTCGAGGCCAGTCCATCGCGGGCCCTCCTCTCGACCGAACACATACGCGCTTTACTTTCTGCCCGCTCGTTCAAATTCCCCATGCGTCGAACTCTCCGCCGAGCCAAGAGGCCGAGTAACCCTCCCGGTGTGGCTGGCTCCCCAAGTGGCAGGAGCTCGTAAGCCTAACGCGATCGCGGTTGCCCGTAGCCCGTCGACGGTGGTAGTGGTCGTGCCGTGATGATGGTGGTGGTAGTGGTGGTGGTGGCGGCGGTTACCTTGAGCACCAAGTTGTACCGCATACCTTGCACAGTTACCCTCTGCTCTAGTTCCCGCGCGCGACCGGTGTTGTGCACGCGACGCATCCCGCGATAAATCGATCTGCTAAATGCTCGACGAGGGTTTTTCGCGTTTCCTTTTTATTTTATATAAAAAATCTCTTTGAGAAACTGTCTACCGTCCAAAACTCTCGGAAAGAGTCCAACGGGAGCATTTATTAATCCTTGATGGGGGCGATGATGTCTTCGTCCTCGTGCGGTCGGATGATGAATAATGACGCGTCGGAAAATACGACTTTGAGTAGAAGCAGAGATCAGTGAGGAGGACGATGTCTCTCGCGAGTGTTGATGGAACGCAGGGACGATCGATCGCCTGAATCGGATTGTCAGCGAAGCGATCGTTGGACGGCGCTGATCGATTCGAATATCGATAAAGCAAGAGCCGTCAATGAGTAATATCGCCGATATTATCGAATGCGCGACACGCTCTCGGATACCGAGCCGGGATTGAAGAAAAAAAGGAAAACACCGGACAGGAAGTGGCGCAAAGGAGCTTCACGAGGAATATTCTTTGCACCGCTTTGTTCGCGACGAGGCGCTACAAGAGAGTCGACGAGGCGTAGATTCAAAAGGACTGACACGGCAGAACAATAAGACAACGAGACAATAAGAAACCGGTAGCGGAGCTCTCTCTCTCTCTCCTCTCTTCAGGAGGGTGCTCTTTGAGCGCTAGAATTCTTCGTTCGATACGAGCAAGCCGACCGACGAATGGAAAAGAGAAAAATAAGTACGAAGCGATGCGAAGCGAGCGTATCTCTCTCTCGTGACTGTCGGACGATCGATCACCGGTTTTTGCGGTTTGCGCGATCTCGCCGGCGCGATCTCCCCATCGTCGGAGGAGAGGATCGTTAAGCGTCTCGCGCGGGAGTGATACGATGACGATGAGCCGGCCGATAAATTACCTCGGCATCGAAATCTCTTAACGAGACGATGACGACAAGGACTCCTCTCATCGCGATGATAATCGGTCGACATTGTCGCGTGAGACTGTCGAAGAGGATCGTCGTGTCTCGGCGATAGCGTGAGTCGCGGTATCAGCGATCTGCAACGATCGGCAGCTCGAATATAAAGCGCGTCGCGCCGATAACGACTCGGTACTTATCTTTTTAATTAGTATCTTTTTGCTAACGAGACCGATGTTCGCGCGTCCATTAGGATAACCGATTCGCCATCTCCATCGCGGATAAACGCGCTTACCGGATTAGGATAGTCGACTTTCTAAGATCGAGTTTCGATCGCGCTCATTAAGGTAAATCGAGTGGATCTTACTTAAAGTTACATTCCAATCGGGTTTACCTCGTCCAAGACGAGGAGCGCGTGCGTCGACTACGTTTCATCGCCCGATCGAATTCACGGATTTCCGCGGATCCGATGCGAGTCCGATCTTAATTATCGCCGATGGAGGTATCGTCCGGTGGCACGCGATCGATACGCTATTGGAAACGTGTACGAGAAACGGATCGTTTCTACATCCCGGCTTAGTCATCGCAAAGAGGAAAGAACGCGAGAATTGGGAAAGAGTATTTGGAAACCGTAAACACTCTGCGGTGAGAGATGCGGTGCGGTGAGGGACGAGAGTGTTGAGCGTTCAAACACTTTAGAAAATCCAAATGTTGGCTCTACAGTTCGGCTCTTTCGCACCTGTACAGTGCGCGCGGCTTTGTGCCTTCTCGAGGTGTTAACGAGAGCTCGGAGTGATTACAGCGATCGGAATCGCGGCAAGAAACTTCTCGTGATATCGCTGGAGGTTGGATAAACATCAAAGGCAAAGCTTCGTGTTGTAAAATACACCTCGTCGAGCTTGAAAGAAGAAGAAAGAGCGAGGAAGATTGTCGTATTCGTCGGTCGGAAACTGCGTACGCGACAAGTCCCACACCGATCCGATCCGACAACGGAACGGGGTCGGTCCCAGTTCCGAACGATCGGCTTCCGGTGAGCGTCGGATTTATCCTCGGGCTGTTGCTGATCGCGGAAGCGTGAAACTTTGTCGCGTGCACATCCGCTTTTTATACATTCAATAACAACAAGGTGATTGTGATGTAAGAGATGCGTTTCGGTGATATCGCGACAATCGCGATAGCCCTTCTCATTTTTGGGCAAGTCCAGGAGTCACGACGGACGAGGTGAGAGAAATATTTTCATTACAACGATAAACGCGAATTAAATATCAAGCTTATACATATATGTAAATTATAATTGAGGATATACATAGCTATATAGCTTAAAAGAGTTACGCAATAAGAAAAGTTTAAACGGACAATCGATCAACAATGTAGTTTCTTATCTCGATAATTTCCGTGTTGCAAAGATCTGTGAACGTTTTCTAAATTATATACCACATGAGTAAAAATGTTAATCGAATTATAATAGTCGACAAGGCTAGAAACTACAGCGTCGATCGCCATCGTTATTCAAACTGAAATTTAAAAAAAATGAATGCGGGGTTGCAAAAGACCTTCACGAGGTCACAACTTTCACAATTCATCAAAATCGGCCGTGAAATCCGTACGATCGTAAGTAATTTATATGATATCTGCGCTTTTCGTGAAAGACAAAGACGTGAAAAATTCTGAAATTTAAATCATCACTGTCAATGGAAAAAGCTGAGAACGTGTGATTTATTTCGATAAATTTTAAAGAAAAATTTGCTCGATGTATATAAAGTAATTTAGTATTAACGAGGCGTAATTTTACGGTCAGGCTCAACATTGAAAGCTCACACTGAGAAAAAATTCCGGTTGCATTAATTAGAAATCTGGATTCAATTAATATGTCTGTTGGAAAATGGACGAACCAGAATTCCTTTAGGAATTACCAGATGAGTATGATTAATTTCTTCCTGTTAAATTTACCAAATTTTCTTGGTAATAATACTAAATTTACAAAAAAATCACTCTGTCCATGTTTAATTAATACAACAAGAAATTTTATAGACATTTTTATAAACGTTATAAAAAATCGAGTCTTATTATGAAAACTAGAAATTCTGCTTGCTTTAATTAAAATGCCTTCTATCAAATACATCTTGTTGATTCAATCAAACGATTTTTCTCAGTGCATGAATCAAACAGATTCGTATCGAGAAATTATTTATACGACCTTGTTTTCAAGTTATAATTCCAGTTTCGTGATTTAATAACGCGAGACACTCCATATACACGCGATCACTTCTTCGTCTGAGTTTTCTCGCGATCGTTATTAGCGGACAATTCCGCTTTATATTGGACGTTCATGAACTAGCGTCTCATTCGTCTCGACAGAATGAGCCAACGCGCATGTATAATGACGATAACGCGATGCTTTACGAGATCGCCATTAACATCGGATCTACGGAACGAGCTACGATCCGCGCGATAAATCGCCCGCAAATTACCCGAAAGCCTTCGAAATGAGCGTTTTGCCATGGCCGCGATACGTTTTGCATATCGCGCGTACATATTAAATTGACAACACGATTGAAGATAAGGACACTTTGTCCAAGCGTCGCGACATTCGCTCGTATCTTTTCCCCTCTTTCTCTTCTAAATCTTGGCTTTCCTGAAAAGTGGAATAGAAAGTATCGGCATGTGTTATAGACTCGAATCGCAATCTCCGCGAATGGACTGAATCGGTCCAAGATCGATTAGCGATTAACGGAGGCGATTGGAATTTCCGCCGTAACTTAATACCCGGTTACATAAACCCTCTAATGATTTAATATGCACAAGAACGACCGTCATTCGGGACTAATTACGGATGCCGAACAAACGTTTATGTAAACGCGGCACGTAACGCGTGATTGCGGATCGACCGAATTTAATGTTATGTGATTTAAGTATGAAACGGCCATCGGGGAATCGCTCGTTGCGTTTTACGAGCCGCTTCGCTATCGAGCCGCGTAATGAGCGCGCTAAGTGAATGAATGAGGCAGATCTGAGGCCGATCGAGGAAACGAGATCATTTCGATCGACTAAGCGCATCCCGCGAAAGAGATAAAATCGTGGCAACGGAACGAGGGAACGATAGAATTCAGTTCCATTCCGCGTATAATTAGACATATAAAATTTCGCGATGTCTATTTAAAAATCTATGATCAAGTATCTAATAGGTAGAGTTGTTGCTGAAGAAGATATGAGGAAACGTTCGGCCAAAGTATATTTAATAAAACATTTTGAGGCATTTTTATCGGATTTATCAACAAAAAAGTTGTCGATCGCGTTATAGATTATCGGATATTAATGATGCGGAAGACAGGATGGTGAATGATAAACACATCTCCGCGCAGCATCGTGGATGTCGTCGTCAAAAAATGTAACACGACATGACATCGTCTTAGCTGATCAAAAAAAAAAGTAATTGTCGTTGTTAAAAAGTCACTCGAGTTTAATTCGAAGACGCGTGTTTTCGAATAATGAGCTCGGATAACTTTATACTCGGTGTATCTTTTCCTTTTTTTTGCTTGGATTATCGCGCAACAAGTTGCAGAGACTTTAATCTTTTTTTCGTGCTAAATAATTGCTACCTTTGCCGTTGGAGCCTTCAAAAAGAATCATCAAAAATCATCACATTTCTGCTGCATCGTGATGCAGCGTCACGTTGAATTGATCGGTAATCCCGCGTGTACATTACGGTGTAAAATCAAAGAGCCGTGCAAGAAAAAATTGGAAAGATAATGAGCAACACTGACGGCCATTCATCATAATCTGTCCTGGCTCGAAATGCTATCCATAAAAATGTAGTCTTAAATGCGCGATACTTAACGGAACGCCAAGTATTAATCTAAATTACGATTTCCGAGCGATCGTACGCGAGAAACATAATATGCAGGTGTGGAAGGGTTCTCATCGATCATCGTGAAATGTATAGCCTTGAGCACAAAATTTTCCCATCATGTTTCACGCGCCTGTATCCGTACGATACGAATCGGATCGAGTCGATTGTATTTGCAAGAATATTCATATTTAACATTCGAATATTTGCAGAATCAGAAAAATAATAATTTATGTCGCAGAATTGATCGGAAGACAATTAAGGATGTTTTGTACCTATTTTCAAAATATTGAGAATTTAATGAAAATTATACAGAATGTCCTTACAGAATGTTCTTATGGGAAACGTATAACCATGTCGATTTAAATGACAAAAACACATGGAAATAATATTTAGAATTTGTTTAAAATTTGCAAAAATTTAGATACAGAGGAAATATTTGCTCAAATAATATTATACAAGTACTAACTGGTTAAAAAGATATTAAATATAATTCAATCAAGTTAGCCATGTATCTGTCACAAGGCAAAATTCTCTGCCAAAAGTTAATCATTTCGATTAACAAAATGCGGAATATTTCAGTAAAAACGTAATAAATATTAAAAAATACTAAGATCAAATTGTAATATTCCATATTTCTTACTCAAAATACACCAAAAGTGGATATATTCGTCAATATTGATTTTCAGCTACTTTTGCTAGGATTGTACATACAAAACATCCTTAAATAATCATGAATAATCGCGATCATATATATTTATTTTAAATTATCTCAAATCACGAATTGATATAAAATTGATATAAATCTGGAGTTACTTTTCCATTTACAAATATTTCGATTTCATCGCTATCGTTGTATCAATAGGATGTCGAGCATAAGCTCATGTAAAATAACTGGCTCTCGAAAAGGAGCAGCTGAAGAGCACGCGGCAGAGAGAAAGAGAGGCCTGTGTTGACGTTTACAAATAGCTGTGAAAAGGCTCGTACATTGTAAGCGGTAGACGTATATGTCACTTTCCGGACGCGGAGATCCCGCGACCGGAACACATGTCGGATACTATCGGTGCAACGGAGTGCGATCGCTCGTCCACCCAAAACCGAGGACCCGCCGATCGTTTGTCTTTCGACGCGACGGCGTGGAAATTGAACGATCGCGACCCGGGTCGAATCGAAGGGACATTCCGGCGCGCCGTGGATCGGATTTAATACGTTTATGATAATACGTTACGCGTCGTTCGCGATCGCCATGCGTGACGTTCACGTGTATCCTTTCGTTCCGGTCCGCCGAATCCTTTAACGCGGTGTGCCCGATCTCTTATGCTCCCTCCTGCCCCTTTCTCGCCGCTTCAAGCCGTGCTGTTTGTTTAACGTATCGATCAACGTCGTGATTAATCGACGCGCGTAATTCAACGATATTAAATCCGAAACGGCGTCGACGCCGTAATTACACGTGTTTCGCTATAGATCCATTCTCGCTGATTCAATTACGAGGATCCGTTCGGTGCGACGTATTCGATGATCCTTAACGAGGCCCTCGAGAAACAATTTAGCATCTGTTTAACGCAATATATTTCGAGACGGCTTTACGCTTCTACGGGATGCATCGTAGCTGTAGCGGCCAAACTTTATCTGTAGCACCTGCGGTGAAAAGGAGAGAAGGGACGAGCATTAAATTAAAGTCCTACGGTGTTAAAGTAAGCCCGGGCCCTCCTGCGGCGAGCATAGTAGTAATACCATTCGGTGTTCTATCTTCATCCGATGCCGATGGTCGACTATTGACACTTATTACAGCGTCTCGGTGCGTACAGGTGCATCGATCTCGAGAAGGAGAAAGAAAGAATTTACGGAAGACGAAAGAATTTATTCTTCATCTCCGAAGCTATTTTTGACACGACTATAAAGACTCTCACACAGCTGAGGATAATGTTTACAAAAACGATGCGCAATACATATTTGCGCTGACTCAGCATCGGTCGTCGACGGCTTTACAAAGAACACGCTGGACGTAAAAGGATTCGTTAAACAGTTCGGCATCAAACGGTCCAAGAGAATTTGTCCGTAAAGTATATTGAACTGGATTAAATCTTGCCTCTTTTAAAAATCGATATAAGCGTGAAAGGAAATTAAATTAAATAAACTGAATAGAGTTAATTTTTTGAAGATCGCAAATTAATTTTGTGGGATTTACATCGAATTCATTCTATCAATTCTCATTAGATTATAAAATTGAAGGGGAGAGAGTTTCTAGTGAGTTTCTCATGAATTTTTAGCGGTATTTTTGGCAATAAATAACGTAAATAAAGTAGCGACACTTTGCGTCGATATATTTCAAACACACCGCGAATGCCGTGTCGGCGGAAACTTATCGCGGTCG